AGTTAAAAGTTACATTTTTAAAAAGTAACTCGTTACAGTTACAAGTTACCAAAAAAGTAACGAAGTTACAGTAACGCGTTACTAGTAACGCGTTACTAGTAACGCGTTACTACACAAGACTGGTTTGCAGCGACCCCGCTGCACTCCGCGCACGTCAAGTGCGGTAAACATGGCACACTGTGCCCGAACTCACGTGCCGTCTGAGTCTCGCCAGTCGCAGTTAGTCAAGCTGGTCCAGCCCCAGCCACAAACAAAGCCTGTCGGGAACTGGCTGAGCGAGCCAGCCAGCAACGGGAACAGCACAACGGCGTTTTCGCTTTTCCCACCAAAAAAGAGGACGCATGCGCTCTCTGTGCTTCCAGAAAAGAAGAACTCACATCAACTAAAAATCAACAAAAAAGCAGGCGCCAGTGAATCTTCGGGAGGGTCAATCCATTCGGATATATATTAGCGTGACGATGAATGGAGGCGCACGCGTTTTTCCGAAAATCTAAGCGTGTGTTCTGCGGTCGTCACGAACGCTGTTGATCACGTCCGAAAAAAAGGCCGAGCGGGATTCCTCGGAGTGCTCTAATGCTTTGACACAGAAAACAAACGCTTATTCTCGATCACGTGGGGCTTAAAACGTCATTCCCGTGGTATCGACGGCGGTTGCTGAAACTTGCGGTTAGCGTGAGGTTCAGCGTGATAGTTTTTAGAGTGTAAAAACAGTCTTCAGCACTGCACTGTAGTAGAGGTGCGGAAATTAGAAAAAGTCTAAATTCAATTCTTGTTTCATTTGTAAGATTAGAATTCAGTGAGTATAATATTTTACCCCGATTTTAGGATTGAAGTAAACTATTTCGGAAAATGTTCCAGGATTCAGTTTGCGCACTCCAATTTTTGGAGAAATAATATGAATGAAGTCGAAGGGCCTTGGAAACACAAGATGCTCTATTTTTTAAATTGAACGCACAATTTCTGCATTACATGTAGTGAAACGTGAACTATTTATAGGAAAATACAAATAGGCTGCAATAAACTGTCAATGTCCACGTTTCAGATTACTGGTTTGATTCAATATGTAGGTGGCGCTTGCGGTGAGCGATTGGCGTTCATCGTGTGTTTGTTCTGATAATTGTTTTTTTTTTTTTTCGAATGTGTCAGCGCACCGCAGCTTCAAGCACGTGGAGCGAAAGATAGCGCCGCAGGGTTCAATGCCCGATCAGTGCGGGTTTGGGTATGAGCGGGTATTGCACCGGTTTTCCGCCGTTTCTTCCCTTTAGCGTGCGAGGCATAATTTACTCTACCGTGATCAAGCTCACAAATACCGGGGGACACAAAAGGGATCCATTGAGCTGCCAAACGCATGAGGTGTGTGCTGTCTGTGTATGAGGGAGGGGGTGAGGGGGGGAGGGGAGCGGATCTAAGTGCGGCTAGCGCAACCGCACGTCGTTCATATTTAAGGTAGTTCAATACATTCTGTGCCGCCAGCCGTTGTTAGCATGATTCAGTTAGTGTAATTTTTTTTTTTTTTTTTTACTTTATAAATCAACTGTTAGCGGTCTTCACACACTTGCCCAGCAGTCAGTCAGTATAGTCTCTGGATCGGAATCACTTGGTTCCAACTCTAGTCCTCGTCGGAAGTATTCTTGTATAGCCGTGTTTTATTAATGGCCCTTATAGACATATATGCTTTATATGACTTTAACTTACACGTAGCGGCCGAGGGTGACGGTCGAGTGCGACAGCCGAGCAGTGGCTCCCCTCCGGAAATGAGCGTATGAACACATTGTGTGCTAAAGCGTGTTCTTGGTTGGGGCATCTTTAGATCCCCTTCGAACAAATGCCCTGCTGGAAGCCGTAAAATTTCTGTACAATGACGCACACAAACTGCACCGCCGCGGCACACGTTTTGCGTTTGGTTGATTTCAAAAGGAATAACGCTCCCAGAGGAAAAAAAGTGATAAACGATGGGATGAACTCTGTCGGCTCTTAGTGATGGCTACGCTCTGATGCACGGTAAAACGAAGGAAAAATTTTTACTAATTGTATTTACTCGCCATTTTACGTCATAGTGTGTACGTCCCGAGGTGTTGGTCGTTCCGCCATTGGGCAGCTGTAGCGACCTTCTGAGAATGGGCACGCGACTTTGCGAAGGGGTCTATGGGCTGCATTGCTCTTCTGCAGCGTTAAACATGTATCAACGAATGCTGAATTGAATTCAAGTTTATTTGAATTTTCACGGAACACGCCCGGTAGGGAGGTAGAGACAAATTAGCATTTCTGCCTCACTGAGACATCTATCCCCCGTAGTCCGCTACAAGCAGACACAATCGCGAAAAAAAACACACACACACACAAAAAAAAAAAAAGAAACACAGTACACACATACAGACAAAAAAATATTTGGCGCATTTATGCGTACCAAATATACACGCTCGTCTATACTCTAGGGAAAAGAGGTGTAGTTTTACGCTCTGCTGTGCCATATGATACACCACAAAACTACAGTTTGACGTACAGCGCACTGACGTCTAACTGACGGTACCAACTTTTTACGGGGGGCTTGATCACGGTAGATATAACTTAATAAATATCTAAAGTACGTGTCCAAAAACAAATACAAAAACGCATTGAGGTTTTGCAGTAGCGTCGAGAAATCCCCGATTATTGGTTGTGTGGTGAGTAACACGTACATTAGCTATTTGAATAAGTTTCACCACTCGGCTGTCAAGTCGCTCGTGAAAGTTGGGAACTATGGTCCCACGTCAGTGGGCTGTACGATGAACTGAGGTGTTGGGGTAATCATATGGGACAAGGGGTGCAAGACTGTACCTTTTTGTTTTCTTTCTGAGACTGTATAAAGCAAAAAAAAAAAATGTTAAAACATAAATAAAAAAAAATTATCGTCGCTTTTTTGTACTTTTGAAACTAAAGATTAGTTCCGCAGTGGTTGGAAATTTATGAATTCACAGTAAATATTTGACTCCATATAGATGCACAAAACCACTGGTCTCATCATTGAGGTATAAAAATGTGTTTGTTAAATATGCTGGTACAAAAAAAATAGTGCAGGTGCCACAATATTAGACGTATCTTCATTGTAAATATTTGAAATCGTAGGAACGTAGAATTCTGCTTCCCAAAACCTAGTTTGTTGCAAATAAACGTGTTTATTTCATTCTTGTATCGATGATACTATATAAAAAAAAAAAATAACATGATCCTCAAAAATGTTTAGCGGTGAAGGAACTCAATAATTTAATTTTTTATTTTCCGTAATTTGTTCTTACCTTCGGCGCTTTTTTGTTTGATATTTCTGAATTTATTGCGTTGTATAGCGACCTCGTATTTATAATAATACTTCTAATTGGTTGCACATCGAGAGATGATAGAACAGTTCAACCTCTCGATATAGCCAGCCGGAAACAACCAGGTGGCGCCAGCTGAGTGAGAACCCACGGTTATACCCTGTCTCGTTGTAACTTGGCAAAGGGTAAACGATAAGCTCCCCCCATTTCGTGCCGACGGCTTCGATACGCGCTACGTATACGAGCGCAATGCACAAATATTGGAGTATGACGCAGCGAAAAGCCTCATACTTCTTTGCAGTAAAAGCGCACTTCAGTGACACGTAGTCACGTTCAGATTGACCCGGCAGGGCCGTAGCTTCCGACGTACTGGCATGTTATGCAATCGCTGCTTCCTGGCTTACCCAGTATTTCTTGCTTCACACGCTAGGCTAAGCGCCGCCAACAGAGTAATAACTCATGTTTGAACAATGCAGCCGCCACTCCCAGGCATGCCCGATGTTTCTTGCTTCAGTCGCCAGATAGCGCTAAACAAAAGAACATTGCAGGTTGCTTATATAAACATGGACCACCTTTGAAAAGTCTTCTCTCTGCTGGAAGCTCCGCGATATCCCTGCAGAAGAACGATAAGAAAGAACACGCGCACTAAGTAAAATCGGTACGTCATGGTGGTGCACTTTCAGCGTTTGGTTGGGTCAGAGGCCAATTATAACGCACCTACCGAAAACGTCATGAACGCAGCTTCGTTGAGCTTTTGTCGCTGTTTGACTGGCTCGTCGGCTAGACTCCAACGTACGGTGTGACGAGTTAAAGAAATAACACGAATTCCATTTTATTGCCCTCTTGTGGCATGACTCACACGTTTGACGGTGTCGGCTGCTCCGCCATTGCGAAGTGGTGCGGACCTTCCAACCATGGTCACGGGACATTTGAAAGGAGTTTATTTAATTTCGGTTCTCCATACTCCGTTTCACACCAAGACCAAGTACGACCCCAGCCAACGCTGCAATTCGATAAAGCAAATCGAGCGATGCCAAAAGCTTCGGTCGGACTTAATGTGAAAGGGATTATTCGATGTTTCAAATGTAAGATGTTCCTTTCTGTCTGTCCCGCTCGTCTCACACTCAGAACTATTTACAGACCGTTCCGTACGACCAACACCATCGTTTCCTTATGGTCCGTCATGAGCACGGATAGGGTGGCGGCAACGCCACCTTCCCCCTGCATCCCGAAGCCTCCTTGCGACGTTTCGTCAAGCAAACGACACACTTTTCTCTGTCCGACGAGTGGTCAGAAACGTCAACAACGACGGGCGGCCGACAGACGCCTCGTTGCATTTGTTTTTGTTCGTTTATTTTCGTAATCTCAGCTTCATTTCGCGTAGAGAGGTCACTGCTGTTTAGTGATGACGTCAGCACATTTTAAGCGCTGCTTTTCTTTCTCGTCGAGGACACGTGAACGCCGCTTTATGTTTTCGCCTTTCTCTTTCTCGATCTAACGATGCTGCTGATGATGACGTCGCCGACCTTCCTGAGTCGGGGAAGGAACTTGTCGAAGGTTTTTCTTCCAATCCTGCAAAGGCGGAGGGGGGGATTGCTCGTCGTAAAATTTCACTCTCGCCGTGGGTAGATAGGAGACTCTCTTTCTCTCTTCCTTTTCTCTCTTTCTTCGCGGTGCGCGCTCATTGCGCCTATTAGATTTCCGCTCCTTTTTTTGTGTCTTTTTTTCAGCAGCCTCTTTGTCGGTAGATCTCGGGCGTTTGTGGTCGCCAGGTGGCGGGTCCGCTGGCGTATAAAGTGTGGCACCGTTGCGGTTAGCCTCACGACACGGAAACAGTTCTTCGAAGCTGCTTGACGTGGGATCATTTGCCGAGACCTTTGCATAAGGTGAGGTTTGAATCCCTTTTATGTTTCTACTTAGCATAACTAGCCCTTAGTTATATTAGGTATTACTTTTGTCTCGAATACCTCTATTTGTACCTACTATATTTTGACATTCCGAGCCATTTTCGAATGGCGATTCGTCAGTAGGATGAGTGAATATAAATAATGTTTTAATAATATAACTAAATATCAACATGTCTGACTGTCAACAATTGTTTGGTCACATTAAGAAGCGAAAAAAAAACGCCTTTTATAGAATTAAAATTACTATTAAGATCTATTCGGAATCTTTTCTATATTTTGTACAAAAAGAAAAACAATTGACTCAAGAAGGAAAAAAAAAAACGAAGAAAGTTTGTTATTTTGACAATTGTTTGGAAGATAATAGCCGCTTTGCTATTACGCTGCTCAAACTACAGTTCCCAGTTACTCTGACCGATTCTTACATGTAACCGCGCATTACGAATGGTAGATTGATAGGGCATTTGTGACATTCCTGAGAAGTGTCCGAAGCTAATTTAACATATGGTACCAGGTAGATCAAAATGAACCCTAGCTTGCTCGTACGAACAGCAATCAATTTTTTTTTTTGGTGTGCCATCTTTGACATTAACTACGAGACTATAGCCGTCATTATTGCCATGGTCACCCGACACGCAGTCTCGCAGTAATATTAATTGCATTTTTGAACGCAGTCGTTTGATGCAACCATGTTTTGATACGACATTTCTTCTGTGCGAGGAAGTGTTCTAAAGAGTAGTTCAACCACTCTTAGGGGCCACACTGCTTATGCGTCATACATAAGATAGTCTGCATACATTAGAAGGGGAGTCATCGCTAGATACTTGCTTCGAATGCCGAATGACAATGAGTCCAAGGAGAAACTTGGCACGCGGCATTCGAACCACGGACATTGCCTTGAATCGTGTTCGCAGACCTTCTTTTGGATGATGTATGCGCAGTGTGACCCCGGTTTTACGGTGGACCAGAAACGATGCTACGAGCCTCCGGGTGAAATCAAACGCCGTGTGACTTTCACATTACCCTCGGGAAAGGCAAAGTGTCGCTCAGGACGAATGGTCCCATGATGTGTTTAGAGCGCTGTGTCGGCCAACATGGCTCGTATAGCACCTGTTGCGGTACCTCGTATTGCGAAACCAAGTAAAGCGGGAGTCTTCCTGGTGGCCATGAACCGGAGGAAATCGGAAAGAATTCTGATCTCTGGGTCCAAATCGTCGTTCAGGCGCCGTTCCATCGGCGATTAGTTGCGTCACAAGCTTATTGTTGGCTCTCGACGTGGTTACCCGGAAAGCGGACGCCTTTAATCGACGTGTGTAGACACGACGCTCGGGTTTTCGAGGTCACGAAGATTATAATCCGAGGGATAACGTGCGTTGCGCCGTTCATCGGCCTCGTAATGGGCGGTTCGCTGTTTTATAAGCTTCGCTTGCCTGGAGCGAAGGCGCCGGAGCAGGGAAGCTGGCGTAGGTTCGATCTAAATGACGGTGCACAGAGTGCGTATCCGTCTGCTGTGTCTGGCCTCCCTGTCTGCCCATCCGTAGTTGCAACAAATAAAGTCGCAAAAAAAACATCATGCAGTTGGATGTCGCGATCCCGGCCTCTGGGCTTATAGACCAAGATCTTTCCATGGCTTATCACCCGGGCGAAAAATGACGAGTCACTGAGCTCTGGACGCATGCCCAGCGTCCGATATACCGCACAGCAGAAGAACATCGCATGCTCAGGAGGCGTTCTACAGCCAAGCAGACAAAAATGGCAGCGCTCGGAAGGCGATTTGTTTTTTTTTTTCAAAAATCTGACTTTTGAAAAAAATCGCCTTTTGCGCGCTGCCATCTTCGTCTGCTGGGCTGTAGAACGCCTTCTGAGCATGCGCTGTTCCTCTGCTGTGCGGTGTGTCGGACGCTGGGCATGCGTCCACAGCTCAATGACTCGGCATTTTTCGCCCGGGTGACAAGTGGTGGAAAGTTGTATAGAAGGTCCGGGAGAAAACCGAGGTAGAAGTGCTCAGGAGCGATAAACTGGGGCCCGTTCACCAGGCAAGTGACCCCCAGTTGACTGCCACCATGTTGTACAATTTTGACCACCAGACGCGTGACCGTACCAAATCCTGAGGCTTTTACGCAAAACTGAGCCAATATTTGTATTGCGATCGCTGTAAAAAAACAGGACAAACTACTTTTTTAATACTGTTAGCCCCAGAGATCAGTGTCTAGCTCCGATAAAAACCCGAAATATAACACCGCAGCTGACGGCATCTGGTGGAGCCATTGCGAAGCTGCCCGAGTTTTTGACGTGAAAGTACATTTTGGAATTAAAACAAACAAAACATTACTTATCTCGTCGCTGCTGTCATGCAATATCAATATAAAATTATTTGTCCGGGGTACTTCGTGAAAATCTAGGCGGAAAACTAGAAGGTCACGTGGCTAGTGGTAAAAAAATGTGTTACATGGTGGCGGCCCATTGGGGGTCACTTTCAGCTACCAGTTTATAGCTCATAAAGCCCTCCACCTCGGTTGAAAAAGAAAACAAAAAAACACGAGTGATCGCGAGTTTCGCTGTCGTCGCGGCGTCCCAACTCCGGACTGCCGAAGCTTTCGTGGACCGTCGAGCTGGAGAGCTACGGGCAGCAGAAGGAAAGTCTGGCACTTCTCGCACCACTGCTGTAACACCGCCAGAATCGTGGCCGGCTAAAACATAACACTTCTGTGTCAACGTCCGGCTTAAATTGAGGAACCACTTTTTACGACGGGCTCCTGGCACCATACTCTGAATAGTCGGCTGCTTGTGCAGGAGTTGCGGTGGCGTCCTAATGACATCGAGCTCTAATTGGCTTTTATTGAAAAGACAGTGGGTAGACCTCAATGCTAGGTGCCTTTAGGTCTACCCACTATTCTATTCTAATCAGCCAATAAGAGCCCGATGTTCTGACATTTTCGCAACCCCTGTGCAAAAAGCAGACGAACTTGCGCTCCGCGACCTCAAGACATCTAGCATTGAGGTCTACCCATTATCCTTTCAGTCGACACCAATCGGAGCTCGGCATTGTTGTGACGTAACTGCAAGTCCTACGCAAAAAAGCAGACGACTTGCTCTTCGCATTGATTTATTTTTTTCGAACATTTTCTATTTATTGGAACCTGTGGAATTCCTGCATAATAAGGGACGAATACCAGCAGCGTGATAAAAAAAAATATAAATCGCGTAAGTTTGTCACGTAGCTCCGCGATTTGTCACCTTGAGTAAACATGTAGCAGCGCAAGTGAAATTAGGGCTGAGTATCTAGGTACGTAATATATGCCTTTATTTGCTTCGGTGTTTCAGATTCAGAACCAACTTGATTAATCGTTCACCAAAATTGCTGTTTTTTTTTTTGCTTTTAAACAGCAAAAACGACAGGGCGGTGCTTTGTTTTTCTCCGAGTCAATGACGGGCTCAATATTGGCCATAACCAAAAGATGGCATACCGGTTAGTTTATCTGCTGTAGTAGGCGGCAAGGCTAGCCTTAATTTTTCTCTAACCTTCGTAAGTAGGTGGTTCATATCGGTACAAACGCTCTCCGTTGTCTCACTAGAAAGTGTCAAAATACCACAGCCGGAAGCAACTGATCGTTAAAAATGTCAAGTGGCAGATAGACCCTTTTCACAAGACTCTCTATCCCCCCTGCGAGTAGCCTGTTGCAACACCAAATTTGCAGCAAGAGTTTCGTCCCGAGCGCGAGTAATTCTGCTTTCAATAACACTTTGGCGCACTCTTAACCGGAGCACGACGCAATGCAATTGGCGGGTGGTGGAGGCTGCAGATCGTATGCTGGAGGAGCCTGTACTTCATTTATATATTTACAAAAGCGTGAAGGTAGAAAGCATCACGAGTGCGAAGGGAGTGGCAGTCTTGCATAACCTCGCGTTTGCTCATACGAGCAGAGATCATGCCGTGACAAGATGCCCTGCGTGCGATCGTGGGTAAATTCAAACTAATTCCGAAGTCGGTGCCTTGATGATATAATCATGCGCGGTTTCTTGCTTGAAAAAACGGAACGTCTTCAGCAGCATATCAAAGTCCCACGCGAAGTTTCCGCTCTTACCCATAAAAACGACCGAACGCTTGCACTTAAAAAAAGAAAGAGTTAAAATGACCGAGCTGTATCACACAGGCCCGTGTGTATGAAGGAACTGAAGAGAAGGTAGCTTCGGCATGTGTTTCCTCTGTGTGAGCACTTGTGCAGCCAAGGTACCTCTGAGAGCAAGATGTTCACACACGCAGACTTCTTGGCAGTCGGCGTCCGGGTAAGATCCTTTATCGTTGAAAGTTATAAAAAAATCTGTTCGTGTTTTTGAGTACCGCTCAAAATTATTTACGCTCGCACCACTCGCTTCAAATAAACAGATACAAAAACTGAATTTTTGAGTATATCGGTGTAGCTTTCAGTTGTGGGAACAGCAAAGTGGCAAGATTAAGTAGCTTTTTGTATCTGGCACATTACTAAATGCATAGCGAATCCACCAGTTCTCTTGAAACAAAAGCACTTATCTAAGCTACACGTTATGTGCCAACACCGCCTACGGCGACGTTCCTATTTGTTCAAGTAGAACGTTTCCGGTTTTTTGTTTTTTTTTTGCTCCTCCATATACAGATCAGGGTGATGAGAAAAACAAGCGAAGAACGTGCCCTCAACAACAGGCAATTGAATCGGCGCCACTGCCGTCGTCATAATGGCCTGAAAATTGTTTTGTAGCGGGTATTTTTATCGGGTTAATAACACGAACAGCGTGCAAAAAACCAGCTTGTGAATTCATGTGCCAAACCAACAAAGAACATAAAGAAATCTTAGTTACACCGTGTCAACACAGGAATAAGCTGTCATAAAATGCAGAGTTGAAACATATGTGAATTAACTTACTTTCTGTCAGAAAGAATCACCTCGGTAGTGTGGAATCACCGCGGTGGAAGCCGGCTTTCAGCCCGTGCTTAAAGGAGAACA